AATTTCAGTCAAGAAAATGAAAAAAACGCAGCACAACACACGCACCGTGTAGCTTGGATTTAACTGTTGAATTTGTGGCTTTTGTACGTTTCGTTCGGGTTTTTCCCGACTTTCTGCGTTTGCGGACATTTTTAATAGTTTTCTGTTATTACATCGCGCGAAGGGAAAGGGTAAACTGCACTACCACCCCGTCCAAAGTTCAACGTTAAACTGACGCGAAAAACAAATGCCGTGAGACGTCTACACAACCCACGATGTTTGCTATGCGCATCGTAACTACATCATCTCGGAACTGATAATAATGGATTGACGTTTATATTTGAGACGATAACTTGTTTATTTACTACTTGTGGACAGTAAAGACGATTTAATATCTTAATTAAAATTAATTTCTATTCAAATACAGTTGTGGCGCGCCGACTGTGGTCAAACTTGAGGCTATATTGCCAGACTTATGTATTTTCCGCTAGCTAAATATTTATCAGACGAAATAAATTCGTAATTTTCATAAAACCCTTCTACAATCTGTATGGTTTTCTCCGCTTCTGCGGCTTCTTAATGTTTTTAGAAATTTAATTCCACTTTATATTTATTCAGAAACAAGTCATGAGCGCCATTTTTTTAAGGTAAGGCAATGAAGAGTGGTTTTCCTTCCAAACTTTTGGTTTTTTAACAGTCCTTTTATTTGCAATCTGATGTAAAGATCTGACAATAAGAAATATTTTGCTGCAAATGTAGCAAATTGTTCAACAACAGTTTCCCTTAATTTAAATTTTACATAAATTTGGTTTGACTTCCAGGAACCTACATCTAGCAAGCGGGTCACATGGAAGATGTCTCAGCCCTCACTTGGTGGATTTTCTATCATTTAAGCGTACTTCTGAGGGGAGTTAGATACTGCCTCTTTTATGGACTTCATTTGTAGGTCAAGTGCAATAATGCCGTTAAATACAGGGTGGGCCATTAGTGTGAGAAAGTAAAATAACTCCCTTGTTATTCATAATACAGAAAAAAAATTAATTTAAAAGTTGTACAGAATCAAAAAACCTAAAGGACAAAATTAATTTGAAACACACAGGGAGATGAGTAAAAACGGGACACGCAAAAAATTACATTTTTTAAACAGAACACCCTGTATATTTTTGAACATATGGATTTCTGAGAAAATTCTATATATGGCAATATAAACAGTTTAATATTTTAGTGCGGGTTTGACAAGTTGTAGGGAATTCTTTAAATTTTGGAAAAAACATGACCTGGAAGAAGTTGTATTAACTTTCAACTACTAACACTTGGAGCAAGAATATTTGACAGAGTAGCCCAGTCGGTGGAAGTAGGTTCTGCACTAAAAGCACAAGTAATTAGTAATAGGTATGGTTAATTTTTTTTATAAGTTCTTCAAAGTATGGAGATTAACATAAGAAAAGGTTCACTGGTCTATCAATTCCCCAAAGCCTAAAAATTGTTTGAAAAACATTTTGATTTTCGATATTCTTTTAAATTTTGGCCTGGGATCAAGATAGAGAAAAATAAAAATAATATCTCGCAGAAGAAGTTTTTCCAACAAAAAAGATACTTTGCACTTTTTTCGTCCGGGTTATGGTTTGTCTGGAAAAAAATATTAAACCCATGAAGTCGTCTTCGGCGGGCAAACAAGCGTATAAATTCACTCTTCAAACGTAAGAATTGTAAAATTTCACTCAAATATTGAATACATTAATATGTAGAAATAAATATTCGATCTTAATTCAATGCACAAAAATAAATTAAAAAAAAAATTTCCAAATTTTTTTTTAGATTTTCGAATATACTCAAGGTAGTAAATAGTAAATACAAGGTAATATTTACATATTTTTATTACAAAATCATAGGAAAAAAATTAAATACAAACACTGAAATCGTTTTCACGTATATTGTATTTTCTACCTAAATACTGTCATACCTGTTGACTATTTACATTCCGCTCTTTGAATATTCGTCTTCATATTGTAACAGTATAAAATTTTGTATTAAACGACTAAAGCAGATTTACACCGGGAACCAGAAAAATTACTATTTTCTTAAAATACAGGGTGGGCCACCAGTAACGCCTCGGTTGCTAGGGACCAAACAGCAAATGTTACAGAAACCTGTTTAGGTGGGTATGTGTAGGTTGATTACGGCCACATTTAAAAAATATTTTGAAATATACAGGGTATCCAGGAAAAGCGTACCATATCAAAGTTATGTATTTTTAAAGGAACACCCTGTATTTTACTGCATTTTTGAAGGCACCATAAAAAATAGGTGAACTTTATTAAAGGTTCTGCATACCGAGGACTTACAGTTTGTGAGATATTTCAATTTTAGTGAAAATGCAGGCTTAGCGTAGAAATTTAATATTAACAATAAAAAAAATAGTTTTAAGGAAACAGCTTTGGAGAGTGTATTTTAGATCCTTGAAGTTATAAATTATTATATTTGTCGTCACTTATAGTTCATATAAGGTGTTCAAAAAACTGCTGAATACTTCTCTCAACTTTAAAAAGCAATAACTTGGTTATTTTAAATGGGACACCCAGTATATTTTTACTTTGGGAGTTAGGAAATTTAAAACTCTTTCAAACTGTATATAGGTTCTCTATACCTATCTCTAACGGTATTGGAGATATTTGTGCCGTTTCGTTTTTTATCAAATTTTTTTATAAGATGTATCCACGTGTCTTTATCGAGGTTTTTATTGAATTAGTTTGGGTTCTTCTTGATGACGTCTCTTTAAATATAAGGAGAAAAATGTGAATGCAATTAGATGGCGCACCTGCAAATTTTTCATATTCAGTGAGAAATTATATAAATCGAAAATTTAGTAATAAATGAATAGGTAGGAATGGTCCATGTCAGTGGCTACCTAGGTGTCCAAACCTCCCGTAATGGACTTCTTTGTTTCGGGCTATATAAATAAAAAATCTTGTACACAGTGAAGGATTAGAGATGCACTTCACAAATATAATAATTTATAACTTCAAGGATCTGAAATACACTCTCCAAAGCTGCTTCCTTAATGTAGAAAGTATGGTTTATTGAATTTTTTCCAGCCAAATCTTAGCTTCAAAAACTTCCCCTACAAGGTGGTATTTTTTATTTTTCTCTATCTTCATCCCAGTCGAAAATATTAAAGAATTTCGAAAATCAAAATATTTTGCAAAATTTTTTGGACATTGAGAAATCGAGAGACCAATGAACTTTTTCTTATATTAATCTGCATACTTTGAAGTACTTAAAAAAAAATCAGCCATATTGCTAGTTGCCTACTTGTTTCTGTGGCCTCCACCGACTGGACTACTGGGCAATGTATAGAAATGTAGCAGAACACTTTTTTGAGGGATTCATTTTTTTTGTAATACTTACAGTGTACTTGAGCTTTAACGTATTACATTCTGAATTGGTGGTTAGGTATTAATTAGCTGCATTTCAGAATTGGTTGTAATTTTTATAGCAATAATAGTAAGCTGATAGGTCTGTAATATTTTAATTCATCTCCGGGTTTCCGGTATTTTTTATTGTACACTAATTGTATATTTTTGTAATCAACTGTTAGACAACGAAACTAATAAAAAATAATGTAGTGAAAACATATTGCTTGATGCTTCCATAACAACGTGTTATTTTAAAGTCACCACATGCGGTGTAAAAATCAAGTGACTAAACAGATTATTTATTTAAATATCTTAGTATAAAAGGTATTACATCATTCTGTTCTATATAAAAGCCATAATGCCCTTGTTATCCACCTCAGTAATGTGGATAATTGTGTACTTTATTTTCTAAGTCCTCCATAGCAAGAACACAGGGCAAAAGAGTTAAAAGAACGCCCTTTATTTAAAAATGTTATATATTTGCTTTAACTGTTTTGCATAATACTTTGATATTATTATTATTATATTATTACTGTGGAAATACATAATGGATAAATAATGTAAATGCCAAAACAATGATAATACAATGTAACATTATAAAGTAAACAAGAAACCTAGTAACTAAAAAAAATATTGAATGCAGTTAGCACTTATCATTGAGGAGGATATCTTAGGTCAAAGTTCTTTTGTCCAAAATAGAATGATTTTTTATAATAAAATATTTTTCTAAACAGAAAAAGGAAAAAATATAAGAGGGGCAGAATGTTATGTGAATGGTCCTGTATATTTTAGCAACATAAAAGTGGCGTGAAACTTTTTTAGTAGGTATACATAAAGTTACACACAATTTTAGTTGAATCCAACAAATCTAATAGGTGATGGGTTTGTTTGGTGGTCATTAGTTGTCAAACAACTCAGATATAAGTAACTATCCAATACCATTATCAAACTGTAAGTAAAATAGATAAACAGAGGAAGTCTTGTACCATGGTCAACGGTCACCCGACAGTAATCCCCTTGAACACTTCGTCTGGAGTCATAAGCTGCTCTTCTCCAGTAGAGACAGGGGATCTAATACGATAAATTCAAAATGCTTCTGCATTTATCAATCTCATGAAAGTCATTATTGCATAGAAGTCAGTTACGTGCAAACTAAAGGGCTTTCAATTTAAACATCTACTTGAATTTTGTGCTTATTACTACATTCTTCTGTAGTTATTATTTGCTTTTAAAGTTCTGTTTGCATATAAGTAACACCGTAACTTTATATTTATACTTATATTTTTCAATTTTACTAAAATTTTGTGTAATCTCTATATGCGCTAAAAGGGTTTCACTTCAAAATTAATTCGACACCCCGTATTGAACTTTTTTGTTCAAAATCAGGTCCTCTGTCAACTGTTAAAGTTAGTAAGTTTACAAATGGAACACTCTGTATATAAGAGCTTCATATTATTATCTATCTAATAACCTTAATATTAATTAATAAAATAAAGGAGTTTTTATTTTCTTCAAATAAACTAAAAATGCACAAGGTCTGGCAACAACGCTTGTCGCTTACATGGTGCACGTTGCGCTGTGGATGACTGGATGCGGAACTAGTGCGGAAGCACGTTGCTTTGTTTTGATTGTCAAATGTTGTGTGCACTAACTCTAATTGCCCGAAAAATAACATTTGAAATATTGCTTGTCTTCCTGCAATGACCACGAAATCAACAATATATCAGTTTTGCAGAGCTCTACCAAAAATTGTAAGTAAAACAAGAACCACTAGTCAGAAATAAATACTATTTAATTTCTATCATTCTTTGGGGTTAGGAGCTGCACGCCCACTTAAATGGATCTCTAAGTATGAGCATTCTAACAGAACTAGGATGTATGGACACATCAATCGTAAGGTACATGAATCTAACAGATATTCTAAACAAAAAAGAAAGAGCCCTAGACGAATGTTTTAAATTATTCAAGGTAGCTCATGATGCTACGAATACTCCAGACAGTGTGTACATAGCCACAAAGAGAGTAATTGAAGAATTTGATCATGACAATGTGATGTATTTAGAATTGAGAACCACACCTAGGTCTGAGGAAAACATGAGCAAACAGGAATACATTGAATCAGTTATCAAGGCAATAAAAGAAAATGACAAAAATATTACCGTAAAACTGATATTATCGATAAACAGAAGCCATGATATGAAGAACTCCCAGGAATCATTAGAAGTTATTTTGAATATGAAAAAAATTTTTCCCGATATAATAAAAGGAATAGACTTAAGTGGCAATCCAAATGTTGGGAAATTTGAAGCTGCCATCTTTAAAACAGCTAAGGAAAATAGCTTATATACTACCATCCACTGTGCCGAGGTTAAAAATGATGAAGAAGTGAAAGATATTTTGAATTTTGGCCCTGATCGTCTCGGACATGCTACTTTTTTGCATCCACGTTATGATGGGTGTCAGGAAAATTGGCAACTGTATTGTGAGAAAAGAATCCCAATAGGTAAAACAATTTCATTATAATTTATGACAAAATTGTATTACATAGACCCCACTTTCCTTGTTTATGCTTAATTTTTTTATTATGTTCACTGCTGCACTGGCAGTGGTTTGTCCCACCCAATAAATATTTTGTTTGCCCATTGCCTAATAAGACATATCTATTTGTGTTGGACATATTATTTGTAAAAATCTGTGTGTTTAAAGTCTTACAATTAGGCTAGAAATGAGCAAAAGTCTACCTATACTCCGCGGTAGAAATTATAGAGAGTGACTCAGACATAATATAAAAACACTATTACCATAATGCGTATAAAATATAAAATGATTTTTATACGGTTCAATATTATTTATTTTTGTGCCGCTCGCTAAGCATATCGATAGAATCTATAATCGTCTATAGACTGAGTTACACTGAACGTTGATCTATATTCTATCTCTCTGTTGCACTTGGTAGGGAATAGGGAAATGCTTTTTTAGTGGGTGTAAACGGACTTGATTTACCCGTCCTGAGAAACGTCATAGCATAAGCGTAGACGAGGGGTCTAATTCCATGGCTATAATAAATTTATAAATTTAAAAATCACAATTGGGACGTTTTAAAATGCTGTAATAATTAAACCGTAAAAAATATTAGATGTTATGTTTTATTATATTTTTTCAATATTTTCTATATCTTGTTGCCTTTTACGCAGACACGCCAATGGATTTTCGTTCGCGGCACACTTCATCCCCCTTACTAGTCCAAAAGCTAGCGATGAGTCACTCTCTATAATTTCTACTGCGGAGTATAGGTACTTAGTTCTTTTTTGTTTAAGATTTTTCTGCCATTTTGGGTCAAAGTAAAATTGGTAAAAGAGGTCAACAAGGAAATATAATTTTCTTTAATTTAACACTAGCCAGTTGCTAAAATACGATTACATTAAATGACATTCACAGAAAGCTAATTGTAATCTTTTTGCGAGAGGTGTGCCACTCGGCAGTAAAACATACACCTACTTAAATTACTTAAAATTACTTAGCTATTTACCAATACTTTTTGTAATTTTTGGATATAATTTCGTAATTTCAGTAATTTTTGGACTTGTTCTGGTACTTTTTGTATTTTTAAATATAATTCGTAATTTTAGTAATTTTTGGACTTGTTCTGGTACTTTTTGGATTTTTAAATATAATTTCGTAATTTTAGTAATTTGTAGACTTTTTCACATACTTACAAGAATTCTTCTAATAATTTTTGTGATTCCGTTATAATTTTTAATAACCTATGAAATTTCATAACCTAATTAATTTCGAAAAAGGAAAACATGTGATTTATCAGTAACTAACTGCACTTATTTGCATACTTCATTAAAATGGTGAAATTAGATGGTTAATTTTAATTACTTTCAAAAAAGGAAAACATGTGTTTTACAAGTAACTGCACTTATTTGCTACTTCATTAAAAAGATAAAAATATTATATAGATCATTTTATTAATTGGGAGTAATTGTAAGAAAATTTATTTGAATTAGCTCAAATAATAACCTTATAATAAAGTAAAAAAACTACAAAAGCTAATAATAATTAATAAATATTTAGGTAAAACATTGTGTGTAATTCAACGCTGGTCCGGGTATTAGTAAAAAAGATAATTTTATATTGAAAAGAGAACACTTTTTTATTATATCTTAAATGTTCACTAAAAAACTACTAACAAGTATACTTAAAACATATATTTGTAAAATATAATTAAAAAATCATTGCTTTTTCAACTCTATAGCATTTTACTAAAACTATTTTTGTACAGTATTGCTATAAACATAAGTCGAATAGTGAATAAATAAAATAAATAATATTTTTTTTCCCTAGGATCGATTAGTGTACTTATTTTTTTTAAAGTTTGATGAGTTCATAGATATACAGTGTGTCCAAAATAAGGATGGGATACCATTAGGATCTAGGAAACGGTAAGAGATACGGGGTGTCTCAGATTAGAAAAAAAGTTGTTATTTTTTATACCTAACAATATGCTGTTTAGAAAGTTTTAAAATTCCGGGTAGTTCCGGAGATATCCGGAAAAACCCGAAATTTTGCAAAATTGTTTAATTTTTTCTGGCTTTATTTGAAAACGAATTTTAAAATAAATTACATATTTACAATGCCACTTTTTTCGCTCTATACAATGGCGTCAACATTTTTGCAATCCGACGTTTCGTCTTCGAGGGGCCATCACAGGGTAATTTTTTTAAATACGTCGCTGCTATTTTTATGACAAAATCTAAAGTCATTTTTAATTCTGAATTAGAGGATATTACTATTGTAATTGCTTAAAAAGTTTTTAGCTTGTTTTAGCTATAATTTAAAATTTTTCCTGAGTACGGCTCTGAACGTTTTCAAAATATCTATTGGATGAAGTCATAACATTATAAAAGTCGATACTATATCCATCAATTTTTTACTACTGTTAGTAATACTAATTAGAAATAATAAAATATTTCATAAATTCGTATTATTTTTTTATTAGGTACAACTTTTTAAATTATGGATTAAAAAAATGGTTTGGGTGTTTTGTGCTGTATTGATTTTAATTCTCTCCTCTCTCTCGGATTTCGCGTCAACAATAGACTTTGCAGTTAATACTTTGTATTCTGAAATCTCAAATCATCCAGAGATAATTGATCATTTGTGCATTTGTAATTCGACTTAGATGTTTATAGCAATACTGTACAAAAATAAAGTTTTGGGTCAAACAATGACACAGTTTTTTTTATTTTTTTTTCCGTAGAATTGAATGGTGTAATCAGTTTTTGAATGTTTTGTAATTTAAACAAATTATCAACAATTACTGAAAAATTCATTGCTGCAAGTCATTTTTTATTTTTTTGCACTTTTGAGCATGTTTTTGAACTGTGTTTACAAATTTTTTTATTTCCCCAAAAAGTATGTCAAAGCGAAAAAAATTATTACCGGCAGAACTCTACGATGATTTTTTAAGTAGAATTTTTCATTGAAAAAAATGTGTTTCAGGCCGAAAAAAATGAATATCTCAAAAACTTCTTCATTTTTTTATCTAAAAAAATTTGAGGTTATTTAAAACAGAGAAAGGTATACTTTCAACAAGTTTCGTCAAAATTAAATTATTTTTGCGGAAATGAAAATCAAAAAACGGAAAATCAGAACAAACCAGTTTTTCGCATTTTTCTTGTAAATTTTGCGGTTATGTTAAAAAGTGACCTCTACAAAAGTTGTAGATTTTTGCATGATCTACAACTTTTGTATTGGATACTTCTTTGTTTGACGTCAACTTTCGCCAGAAATCCCAATAATACAATTTTTCATTACTTCAACCTCTCAAATCAACCCTCCGCCACCCCTGCTCACGCATTTATTTTTTTAGGTTTATTATAAGCCCTTTTACCATTTCCACTTATAAAAGTCCAGGTAACAATTAGTTTTTTTCTCCAAGTGTAATTTCGTTGGACTATTATTTTAGCTAAAAATGAGAGTTTGTGTTGCCAGAATTATTCTAGTGAAGGTAAAAACAATAAAAATTTTTACTTGCTTATGGTCAAATTTAAACAAAAATATCAAATAAATAAGAACTCTATTCGTCCTATCGTTCTATTTTATTTTTATAGGAAATAATATTATTAGGTATTTAAATAACAAAATAGATGCCGTGCGCCACACGTGTGCTGTTTGAAAAACCAATCGGTACAATTGTGTTTGAGAAATACCGCGTCCCGCACACGTAAACTTTTTTTCACTATGAACAAACTAGACTGTTTTTTCAACAGTACCTAGGTAGGTAAATGTAGGCAAACAGAAAGTTAGTTATGTCCCTACGATGTTTTTAGGAAAACTGAATGAAATATTTTCAATCAGACCTTTTTATTTAAGTACTTTCAGTAATTTTAAAGAATAATTTTAAAAATCTTTGTACTCTATCGAGTACTTTTTGTACTTTTCGTAATTTAATACGTACTTTTTGTAATTTCATACATATTTTTTGTAATTTTTGTAATTTACTAAAGAATTTGATAATTTTTATATTTTAATAGATAATTTCTGTATTTTTAAAGTAATTTTAAATTATAATGTCTCAAACGTACACCAAAAAGTACTTGTGGCACACCCCTCGTCTTTTTGATTCTAGAAATATTAAGGGGTTTTCAATTTTAATGTTACGAAAAAAAATGGAATATCAGCATATTTAAAAAATTCACTATTCTTACACCATGTTATACAAGTTTGCTCTTTTTATTTGATTGAGTATATCTGCACTGAAATGCAGTTTTAAATAAATAATTCTTTGGACCAAATAGATTGGTTGATTTTATAAATTTATATTTTTGTACATCTGCTACTACTTCATACATTTTAAATGAAATGAGTGTGCTCTTAAGATACATGAAGAGATTTAGCATATTATTATATTAGAAGCAAGAGGAAATCTCCATAACGTCATTAGAAAAGTACATCTCTGGTATAAAATATCCACTTTCGTAGTTATTTGTTAATTTGCAAAAAAAAAATCATCCTTAGATCATCTCGCTATTTAAAATTTTATGGATTAAAGCAAGATCCAGATGAGACTACTTTTTGTAAGTAGCAGTAATAAAAACAAAGAATTATTGGTAAGAATTGCAAATAGAGTGGGCTTATCACAGTGAGGCCCCCAAAATTGCGGCACCCCAAGGTTCCCCCAAACTGTTATATGGCACTTACACTACTGCTTTCTGGATGAGCGTTTTCCTGGTAGGTTCTTAGTAGTATAGTATAGGAGGAAGAGATAAAAGGTAAAGCTGTTGAGTTATTTACCAAGTATGTAACTAAATTTAATCATTAGATCATTTAAAATAGCATTTTTCTGGATCTATTGGATAAATTATAAATTTTAATTAAACTTGAGATTCCAAGCTTCCCATTTGTTTGGATAGGAAAAATTGAGAGATATGTTCAAAATGCCAATGTGCGTGTCTATAGCGATTTATTAATGAATATAAAGTTTCTTTGTAGTTACAAAGGAATATTTCTGAAATCAAAAAGTAGTTAATCCACATTTGAAATTTGTATGAAAAAAATTGAGTGTTCTACTTTCAAATAAACTTATAATGACTGCCAATTCCGCAGTTGGCTGAAACAACCAATTTAATTATTCCAAATTGAAGCAGTGTATTTGCTAGTTGACATTACCAAATTACGTATTTAGTTTTTTATAGGTACCTGAATTGTTTAATTATTTTATTTCTATTACTGATATTTCCATTTTACCGACTGTGCATTTGCAATTATTGTCTATTGGCCCCGTCCAACACCAATCATTCTTTTATTTTAGAATGTTGTATGACATCCAATGTTATATGTGGAACTTCTGAAAGCTATAAAAAACATCACATACAGGAATGGATAAAGAATGGATTACCGTTCTGTATTAGCGTAAGTTGAAACTTTTATATTCAAGTTTTATAAAAATAATACAGCTAAAAACAAATTAAAATTGCTCTAATTACAATATTTTTTAGACCGATGATAAAGGTGTCTTTTGTACATCACTCTCCGAAGAATACGAATACGCTAACGAGTTCTTTGATTTATCAAAGGAAGATATGTGGAAAGTGTCATTAAATGCGGTAGATTACTCTTTTGCGTCCAATGCAGAAAAACTGCTTTATAAATCCAAACTGAACGAGTGGAAAAGAGATAATGAAAATTTGTTCTTATGATTTTTTGTCATAACAGAATAGATAAGTACTTTATTTATATACCTTTTTATAAACTTAAAATTAAAAAAATGTTTTTTATATTGTTTGTTCATTTTCCATTGCCATGTATGAATTTTAACCTGTTTCGCAAAAAAAATTGACATTTGATTATTTTTTTTGTAAAATATCCGTATGAAATTTACTATCTATTTCTATTAAGTACTGTTTCAAACAAAATTGTATGCAATGTAGTATTTTCAATGATCATCCTAAACAACTTCAATATCTGTTTTTCTCTGAATTAATTATCATGTTATGGAACAGTTTCAAATCACTTCTCCAAGAAATTAATACGCCACTAAAATAATTTTAATTAACTTATGTTGTACTTAAATAGCAAATTTAAACTCTGATTAAAGTATTACCTTCAAAAAATGTTCAATCAGTCAATATAACCCTTTATTTACTTTCAAACAAATTGTATACACATGAATATCAAATTCTTTTATATGGAAATAAACAATATTTTCAATTAATTTAATATCGGAAAGTGAGTCTTCTCCACGATATATGGAAAATATAATTTGGGGTACCATACAAAATTTTAATTAAAAAACTTATATATTTCCAAGTGTTCCCACTGTATTCCTTTATATTTCCTCTAATATTTTTGTATTCCCTTATTACTATTCCTTAGTAGGTACCCCTTGCTATTACATGCATAAATATATTTTTTAAATATATGGCTATGGATAATAAAATGTTGCCAACAATTTCACTTCAGTGTAAATATTAAATATGGCTTTGCTGTTCGAAAGCTTTTAAGCTCCTCCTAATTTCACTAATCTGCTGTATTTATAAATATTTGAATAGTCATAATGTTCTGCTATGGAATTATGATTTTAATACCTGTACATTTAATTCCCTTGTCATAATACTATAATAGTCAGAAGACAGTTATTTATGGCATGATTTTCATTTATTTAGTTGGGTATTTTTCCACCAGGGAAAAGAATTAAAACTTAATGAAGTAAACCCTTGGGCCAAAAGGATCAGTCGAGGGGTTATTATTTAGATTTACACTGGATAAAATAAGAATTTTCTTATGGTGCAGTATTTTTAAGTAACTATTGTAAAATCAGGTCGTTTACATAAAATTGTTCATCATTTACCGACATGGGCCACAGTTTCCTACCCTCTGATAGGGACTTAAGAAAAATATATCCAAAAATGTAATATATCCCAGAAGAATGGTACAAATTAGTAGAAACTTATTCCAAAAAATTAAAGTAGTATGAGTGTCCCAAATTATAATTTCTAATTTCGAAAATCATATTTTAAGAAAAGCCACATTTTAAGAAGTGTGCTTTACAAAAAGGAAACTTTCCAAATAAGCAAGTATCATATTTCTTCTTATAGTTCAAATCGTCCTGATCATATTTTATTTCTGAAGTTCACCAAATTACAGAATGATTATCCATTGTTTATTTAAAAACATTACTAATTATCCCGTCAGGCATTTTCAATGCCTTCCACATTTTTTAACAGAGACACAAATTTGATAAATAAAACTTTTAAGGTTCTATAAAAACATGTATCTTCAATAGAAATTGATAGGCAACAGGGGTTTTAAGTGATGCTGAAGAATGACACATTGCCACATTTCCATTTTGCTGCAAGTATAACCTAATATGTCTGTTGAAGTTATACTGCACTCACACAAACAGTTTTTGGTTATTGTGAAGGTCATCTGCTGCCTGAAATATTCTTAAGCGTAGTTCTTCTAAGGAGGCAACCGGAGTGGCATAAATAATACTTTTTATATGTCCCCACAAAAACAAATCCATAGGCATTAGGTCAAGTTAATGTGCAGGCTAGAAAACAGGGGCATCACGACCAATCCAGCGATTCGGGTAATTTAAATTTAACCATTCTCTAACGGCAAATCTACTATGTGCAGGCGCCCCATTGTGCATATACCACATCACCTGACGTGTAGCGAGGGGTACATCCTCAAGTAATGTTGGAAGATTTTCATTCAAAATTCTTAGATACTCAGCCGCTCCAAGCCTGTGTGGAAGAATAAAAGGACCTACTAGAGTATTTCCCACAATTCCCATCCAAATGTTTAAACTGAAATTATGTTGTCATCTTGAAACAAATATTTCATGAGTACTTTCTTCCGACCATGAATGAACATTATGAAGGTTTACCTGCACCTAGGAAAATTTGCTTCATCGATGAAAAGTATATTCATTAGGAAATTTAAGTAATGCCTGGAAATATTAATGTACCATTGACAAAGATCCACACGGTTAGGTAAATCAGGGTCATTCAATTCTTCCACAGGTTGATGGTGAAAAGAGTATAAAAGATTTTCATGAGCTACATTCCACACAAGACTGTGAGAAACTTGCAGTTGCCTGGACACCTGTCTTGTCCTTGTACCACAGTCTTCTTCTAGATGTTCCAGTATAGTTTCCTCAGCTTCGACAGTTCGGAAGTTGGGCTGAATTTTACACTTGGAGCATGTCGACATATTCGTCATTGGTATAAATATTATTTGCCATAATTATTCTGATAATAAATTGGTACTAATTATTGGTTGACAGAAAGTGTCAGTTTATTAATATGATAAATAACAATTTATTTGTTATGACATCCGCCTACTTTATTTTTACAAATTTTCGCAATTACCACTTTAGCGAACGATGACGCATCTAATTTTTTTAGTAGAAAACTATCGGTTTTATCGAAAAATTACAAGAGGTAAAAAAGTTGCGCAATAAATCAGTCTTCCCAATAAATATTTTTAAATAAATAATTTGCATCATATAAAAAATTTCTAATAAAATATTGCAATGTGGTTGACTGTTTAATTCCTTTATAAATTACGCCAATGATTGAACAAATATTGAAAAGTTGTCTCTTTATTAGTAGGATGCTCATGTCAAGTTTCCTGTCTCTAGCATTCCTCATGTTAAAGAAAAAAATTAAAATGTGAATTTCAATTCCCTCTTTTAAGAGGGTATATCGCCTCAGGTGTGCAACTTTCATATAAGGTATTTTTACTTCAATCCTGTTATTTTTGGCCCCACATTCACTGTTACCATTTTTGCTACTTCATTTAAAAACACCCTCTATATAAAATGTTATGTTTAATAACTAATAAAAAATTATACAAGTATTCCACTATCAGATGACACCAAACCGATGCGACTTAAAATTCAGTATATATTTATCAAAGTAGACTTTAAATTATTCTTTTGAAAATTGAGGACATCTTTGCAAAGTTGATTAACATGATATTGCCAGTGGTGTATCAAAGACAAAACTTTGTCAAGATAAACTATTAAGTATTTTTTTGTTTTTGTGATTTCCAAAAATTAGGAAATGTCAAGCTCTAAATTAAAGCAAATATTTAATTCTACTGTGCAATTTTAGGTCCTAACCCTAGAAAACTATTTTATTTGTCACCATTACTTCTTACATTTTATTACTTTTTAAATTCAAATAATAACTAGTAAACATAGCTGAAATTTATATACTTTCGATTGGGAAGATTTCATTGTCCACAGCTACTTACTTCCTCATTTCATAAATGTAAATAAATTAATGCACAAATCAACAAAAATAAAATAAGCGACCAAACCTCCTGTAATACAAGGCATTTCGACTGAATGCAACCAATTCATTACAGTTACAGTTTAGCCGGCACTGGAATTTACATTTGTTTAAAATTTTGCAGCACATGTCTTGGTGTACTTTGAAATCTGGATCTGCCATTGCATAACAGTTCGTATTACTAAATAAGTTAGATTTATTTTATCAAAATCTGATGTGTAGTCTTTCTAATCAGTTGTCAAACATTTAATCGCCAATTTGCAGTGACAGTTTTTCACTGAAATTGAAATTTTGAATGTGCGTTTTTAAAAATTAGCAGGTATATAATATATAAAAAGGTATGCTGCAAAAAGAGAAAAAAATATGTTTAGTACTAAATAAAAAAAATGTATTTGTAACAAATTTGTACAAACAGAATAAAGCATATTGCAATCTTAAAGCTGTTTAATTTTCCTAGAAAATTAATCGATGAAACCAAATAAACCTATTGTACAATCAAAGTAAGATAAACTAAAAAAATGACTAGAATGGAAAATCTTAAACCTAAAGTTAAACTACTATTTGTAAATTCAGGTATTATACAGAATTCGTTAAAATATTACATATACATAATTATTGTTTGTTATTTTGGTGTATACATATATAAATTTTAATAATAAAAAATGATATTTGTAAACAAAAATGATCTAAAAGTTTCTTGGAACAGAAAAACTGCACCCTGTTATGTTTTTGTGCAATATTTACTTTATAATCTATTTTCCAAGACATGTATTTGATAATGAAATGAAAATATCTGTCATATCACTCCTAAGCCTAAGTGCAGATATAAACTGGAAACGAGTCATTCTGAGGTGAGTCATAGTGAGACCGAATTATAAGATTTGTGTGCATGTTGAAAGCATCTTGTGATTCAGTTTTCTTCCACGCTTTAAATAAAAAATTATTATTAAAAAAAATTAAATTTCTGTATGTTTTGTGGCATTTTTTGTTACTGTTTTTACTTAGTTGGGTGTTTCTGCAACTAAAAAAAAAATTCCGTGGGCCATAAAGATCGATCACAGAGTTACTCTTATAACTCTAGTTTTTCGTAACAAGAAATATCTGAGAACAGAAAATAGATGATTCCCTATTACGCAATAATAAACACTATAGCATTATGACACAATTATTTCTAAAACTTTGACTTTTGAAAATGAAATTGACTTAGTCAAATGAACGTTTTTTTTTTTTGTTTTATTTTCTACCTTTTACATATGATATATAATATTTATTCTGCTAATAAGCACCACATCGTTGAGAATATTGGTATACACAGAGTGTATCACAGTTAATAGGGCAAAATAAAACAACTGCAAGTACATTATACTAGAAGCAAAAGAGTCTTAGTAAACATGGGTACAAGTCTTGTACGGTAGGTAAAATGGAACTTT